CTACCGTCGTCGCTGTGCAAGTTCCGTGGGAAGCGTTGAAAATTGGGTTGGAAAGAGTATTTCAGCGTCCTCACCCGACCACGATGGATCTGCACAGGCAGCCCTAATGTTGTGCACTTTGCTGGACTCTGGGGCGGTAAAGTACACTCAGTAAAGTACATTCAGTAGATTTTCAGATTCTCACCAACAGACACAGCCACAAGAATGCGAACTAAATGCGGGTCATTCGAGCTAGCAATACTAGTGTCGTTAATGTATCCGTTGTCAATAGGACGGTATTCTTCCCCCGGGCTACGCATTTCGAGGTTTGTTTACGCCCTACATTCCTGGTCACGAAGCATGGCGTGAGACCCATCGAAATGATTACGTACACGGTTTGAGGATAATCAGCCGGGGGGAAAGCAGTTTTGCCGAAAGCCCTTCAGCACAAAAGTATAAACAGCCTTCGTTATGCAGAACTACTCGCAGTTAGAAGTAGAGACAACAGTCTCATACCGTATTTACACGCCACGGACAAGAAACTTAGGAAACTAATCAATGGGCAATGGAATACGACCTACGTGGGGAGGGCAATTTCACCCATTTTTTAGCTTATCGACTAAGAGGTATTTGGCAGAAGAAGCGGGTTGATCTAATTAAGCATCTGGGTTACAATACGGGTCGACCATTAATGTATGATCATCGAGATGACGGTGTTTAGCCTCCACTTGACAGCCACTTAAATATTCCGACTAGGTGAATATACTCTAATTGCATGAAATACCGACGAAAGGTAGCCCTTGGATAAATAGACAGTACTCATACGGACGCTCAGTAAAATATTTTTCCCTTTAGACGATTAACGGGAACAACAGTGCGTTAAATAATGGCATATATCGGGATTTCTTAACACTACTGAACACTAACAAGTGGATGAAATCTGACCGCCAGAAACAGGAGCCGATGGCAGAAGGGGTGGAGACAGAAATAAGGGCAGAGTAATGTATCGTTGTTTCGGATTTATTTTGACCTCATTCAGCTAGTTATAACCCAATCACCATCTGTGACGAGAAATAAAAAACCGGACATTCACAGAGCACGGAGTTGAATTGCTTCGGTAAGCCAATAGATCGGCCTACGCCTATTGCTGCATTCATAAACCTAAGTGTGTAGAGGGCTAAGCATAAGGTAGAAAAACAAAGGGGAAATTGTGTTGTGGAAGGAAGGAATGTCTTATGAAAACAGTCCGTTTATGCGCTTAACAACAGAAGCCTTAAGGGCAAGGACAACATGGTTGAACCTGGAGGAGAGCGAATATCAGCAGACGGTAAGGCGTGCGTGCTGCATTCAAATGAACATGGCGATAGTTTCGTAACATCTTCCCTAACTTTTAGGAATATTAGTGATCCGATCGCAATTACGAAGACCACAAACTGGACTCGTCCCCAGAACAGCTAATCAAATGGGGAGTGTTGACATGCACTAATAGGTTAAACCAAAAATTCCTGCACTCGTTTGAAGGCACAAAACGGTTTTATTATGGTTGTAGAGTAGTTTTGTTGTATTATGAGCAGGGAACCTAATTCTCGCCAGGACCAAAAGTGAGCTGTCTCAAAGCAATAAGGCTGAGGAATTTTTGCAAAGGAAAATTGACGTGACAACAGAAGCCGGAGAAAATTGCGTTGTCTCGGATAACCATATAGCCTGTTGTGTAGTCATATTTATATTACGAATGGGAATGTCCCACGATGCCCCTCTAGTTTGTCAAAATAATCCAGGATTAAGGACTAAAGGGGCAGTCCAAGGATAGCATTAGGGAGGTCGATTAAAGGGGGAAGGGAGGAAAAGAAAGGAAGCAGATAAGGAAAGTAGAGATCAAAAAGTTACAACGGTGGAAGCTGTGTACCTACCGGTGAAGATTGTAACGGGAGACCAGTTCTGAGGTTAAACGACCTCGAAAGACTAACTGTCGGTGATGGCTCATGCAGTACCCGTGAGCTCCTAGACACTGGAGGTGATCGAGGCGAAGCGGAGTGATGGCCTTCTTGCTCATTGGTAGAAAGGTTCGACACCGCCAGCTTTTCTGACAGAGAAGGCGGAACTGGAGAACTTTCATCTGTGCAGCCATTTCGGTTGGTTTTGGGCGCTTTAGTTAGAGAATGGCATAGTGTGCGGTGGTGCTGACATGGCTTAACGTTCAGAGTGTTGAATTCCGCGATGCATTCGTCAACTCGTCGGCTACCGTCGCCGATATCAAGAACTTCCTGAGTTGGCAGCTGTAACTGAGTGACACGTTGCTGTTTGTGGGGCGGTGATTCAAGGGGGGACGTTTTAAAGAGAGCTGTTGCAGAGGACCCCGCCTGAAATTTTGTTCGGCTTGAGTTGGCTAGTCTGCTTAAGTTCCACTCGGACATAATGACCACAGGGCTTTTTGGGATAATATGATGTGGTTCAGGATCCTGTGGCGACAGTGCGTCCGCTGTAAGGAATGAATGATTATGATTATGACGAGGAGAAGGAAGAGGAGGAGCGGGAATTTGGCGGCTGTTTGATTGCTCCGTACGACTGAACAGGGACGTTGCAGCCTTTCGTGACCTTGATTTTGGAATGTGAGTTGAAAAGGCATCGGCACTCTGTGGAAAGACTTGCGGGATGAGCCTACTCGCCACTGCTTCCTGAGTTTCACTGGAACCCTTGGAAGGCAAACTCATAGTGCCCTCTTCCAAGAAGTGATCTGAACCGACCATAGGAGGCAAAGTCGGGGGCAATTCAAAGATTGAAGTCACAGTTGTGTCAAGGACGTCAGATCGACCTACATTAATACGGGTAAATTTTTGCGTGCTGAATAGGCCAGCAATATCGCGTTGATGGAAGTATGTTGAGTGGTTGCATACGTAGTTCCTTTTTATCATGTTGGTGCGCATTGTTGTCTGTGAACGATTCTGAATGGATATGGGAGGTGAAGGGCGGACTAAGGCACCATAATCACTGGACATGGCGGCCTCTTTTATCTCTCCCTCCGATGACAGTTCATCCGTATTTACTGAGAACCAGCAGGAAGAGAAGAAGTTTGCTCCGCGCAAGTTGGTCATCCTGCGGGAGGAATGGTGGAACCAAAACAACATTTACATCACAGCAAATGCAGTCTATGAATTGAATTTCTTCATACTAAATACACGAAGCGAATGGTCTCATTTTTTAAAAAACGGCAAACATATGAGTAACCTGAGTAAACTGCAACTAAACAAAAAGGGATGTAACTAACCGGCAGGCACAACGCACATCGCCCACGCGAACTGATTTCTCGGATGAATGTCGGTTAAACAATAATTGATTCATCACAGACGAGGAGCAGTAGGCGGAAATCTCATTCTTGAGGGCCTCCAAATCTTCAGAACAATCGTGCACCAGCCTGAAAACAGCGTAACGCAATAAGCACCATATATAAAGCAGCAGGACGGAACTATATACACTGTGCTCTGCATAAATTACGAGGAAGAGGAAGGTAAATGCACATAGAAGCTTTTCAGAAGCCCTTGACTATAAACTCCGGAACACAAGTATGTATGCATGGAAAACTTACCCCTTCCCGTCGTACTGTTAAATTTAATTTTGGATGCACATTCGCAAAAAAATACAGTTTTCCAGAGGATAAAGTTGCTTATATCCATGCACATCGCCTACACAATCTGCTGAACTCTAGTCGCGCACTGACCCTAGTAAATAACGACTGGTGCCGAGTTTTAAATGATCCATTGGATAAAAACCGTTTAAACACCCTACCTGCACAATGTAAGGCAAGCTGCCTTTACAGTATGGTAGTATCCAGACTGTCAAGGAAAACTAGACAGGCCTTTCACAAGGTTTACGTCTATCTAGTCATCCCATAAACTACCATCATATTAACAGCCTATAACAAACATTGCCTGAGAAATAAGCGAACTTATGTAGGTGCCACCAGTAAATTTTATAAGCTATGTATCCCATAAAATTTCATTGAGTGGGCTGACGTCAATGCTAAATGGCGTTTAGGAACTGGCATTAAACAGGCCTTGCTTACTACCACTAGTATGCGGCGAAAAGCGGGAAATTCTGCTCCACCGACAACCGTAAAAGACGTCGGTGGCGAACAGTGTGGACTATTACTACTTCGAGATTAGCCTACGAGATCGGATTAGATGCTGAAGTATCCTCATTTTCTTCCCACAGCAGTATGACTGACAGTTCTGATCAGCGAAGTGTTGCAATCTTCGTGAGGGATCAGGTATAAACTGCATTTATGTTCCGAGAACTGGTACGACAACGATGCGTACTGCTAACCAAAGTCTGCTCAAGCGACTGACGTCGAATCGGGAACTCCTAGACAAAACTGATAAAAGCGATTAAACACAGACGCCATACAGATCATTCTCGACCAACTGTAATTCGACCAAGTTAATCCGAACGGCGGCATATGGCACTGCACAAAAGGGACGCCGCAGGCCTAGGTAGCAAAAACCCGAAACCGTCAACATGTCCACATTGTCAACCAACATTCAGGGCAACAAAAATGACCTCGTATAGTACCTTTAGACGCATCACAATGTCAGGAGGATCTGCATGCCCCCAGAACCACAAATACCAGCGTCATCACCATAAGTGTCACGAATGACGGCAGCTCTCTCCCTTGTCTTCTAATGCGGGTTTTCCCTGATCGGACATATTAGCACTTACTACTCTTGGATCATCAGCAGGACGCGAAAGGCACCCAAAAGAACAGTCAATGGTGTACACACAGTACAGTAGTCGCCGGCTATTAAGCGCACCTCGGCCCCAGACCAAACTGGGCTTAATAAGCGGCGGGCGCAATAACCGGAGAGTCCT